ATAAGCTGCCCGAAATGTTTGCAACGATGGAAAAATTCGCGAAACAACGGCGCGCCGATATTTCATCCAACGCGATATTCGCTGAACGAAACGCGAAACGTTGCAATTGCATCGGAAAAACGAGAAACCACGAGGTTATTTACGGATAAACGCAAACAGTATAGACCGCAAAATACCATCGAATACTCCTAATAAAGGAGTCTTCTCGTGCCATATCCCCGGGCCGACACGTTATTACTTTGGATACCTGCATACTTGGAGCGCCTCAGCCTGCCCAAAGTATGCCTACTCGAGACCGGGGGTTACACGGAGACGCGTGACATGGCCTCTAACCGCAAATAGATAGCCCTCGAAAAAGAGCCCTCGAACGAAACGATCGGCTCGTATAAGGCTCAGTCACACATCAAGAGCATCCGTACACACGGAGCAGCGTTTTCGTGAAGTCGCGAAATCCCAAATCGACTAGCAATCTCCCTGCCGCGCATCCTCCGCCGACCGATTTCCTGGACAAGTCTCTCCAACGGGCCGGCTGTCAAGCGCACAGCTCTCAGGAAGCTGCAAAGGTACGCTCGCGAAATTTCACTTCGGACAGCAAAATGGAAACTGAATCCTTCTTGTCGGCACGAATGCCCGAATGCAACGAACGCAACGTCCATTCCCTGGTTTGCCATTCCCTTTGTTTCCTACGTTAACGCGCTAACGAATCCGAATTTCCCCATTTTACATTGTTGGTTTCCCTGCAAGAATTTTTAACGTTTGACGTTCGCTAGTCCGTGGACGAGATTTCTCGTGATACTTAATTATAACTACGTGTTCCGCGATTTTTCGGCGCACTGACGAGAAGGTAGGACGGGAACGGGGGGAAAAATCGTTTCGTTATCGTCGCAATTCGAATACGCTTGTATCGCGTGTGTTATACATATGGGTGGAACGGTCGTTGAAAATCTTCGAGCACGAAATATCCAGAGGATAAAGCGAATACGTATTGGAGGAGGAAAGACTTTGAATTTCACGATTAACCATGGGTAAAGTGGAACGGCGCGATATCGACGAAACGGTGATTTTGCGACGTATGACAGAGAAATATGGAATTTAAGCATTCCACTGAAATTCGAATTATTTCTGCATGTCGCGAAACTCGGTGACAAATCATCGTTATTTTCGAATAAAGTAAAAGCGTTTATTAATCAGATTCGACATAACGGCAAATCGATTACGTAAATTAAAATAGAACAACGGACGGGTGCAAGCTGTGCATAAAGAGAACGAAACCGTTCGTTCAAGTTGCACAATTAAACGACCGTTCAATCACAATTATGCGAGCGATATTAAATAAACATTCAATCGGACGAGTCACTTGGCAGAGGACGGATAAGCTCGGGGCGCGGGATCAACGTTGAGAGCAGTTTACGGAATAACGGCTTGCTATCTCGCAAGATTTTCCTAGAACCCAGTGATCATTTTCATCGATAACGCTAGCACGAAATGGAGGTCCGCTATGGCCGACAATATTCATCGTATGGGGTAGTAGCGCGCGAAATAAGGGTTGAGGATAAGATTATGGCAGCTCGTGCGGTTGTTCGGGGAATGTTGACGATTTAGGAAACCGTTCGTGTCGGTAGCTTCCACGTCGCCAGTTTCGTCCATGCTTTTTCCCTCGCTTCCAAATACTCGACAAATCGTCCCTCCGACTGTATACCTTTTACAACTTTTACCCAGCTATCGCCATTTTAAGAGAGCAGAATTCGCGATCGCGACGTGCCGTCGTATAAATATCTGAACTCGATTCGCGCAACCGTTGTCGCGACTGTCGCGGCCCGGACCACGAGAAATTCGATTAAATCTCGCGACGTCGATCTCTCGCGAATCTCGAATCGGAGACAAACGAGAGCATCCTTTTTACGAGCGCAATTACGCCGGCGAAATTGCGACGCACGGGACCGTCTAAGAGACAACAGTGGTACAGCCGGAAATGCGTCGAGTGTATCGACAACTTCCGGTTGACCTATCTCTGCGCGTTCCGCAGCTGAAATTTCGAGTTGCACCGACTGTGAACAGGAAGCCTCGCGGATCGATATCTCGATTCGTGTTCCGGGGGCTGCACTGTTTATGGACGGATGATTATGAGCCCGATGAATGTCCATCAGTGAATCCGTCGAACCAACGAACCTGGTAATAGTATAAATGCAGGAATATTGCTATTGGGAATTGTAACTTTCACGTAATTTATAGTAACCCCGGTATCGCTGTGGGAATCAGTGCACCGTGCGTAAAGAAAAATTTTCTAATTATATATGAGCGAGCGTGTTCGGCGATAAAGAGGAAGCTATCGGAAAATGAGCTAACGATCGGCCCGGCCGTAAAATTGGTCAAACAAATGCGCGGTAAAAGGAAGATGGCGCTTCCTAAAACGTGAAATGCGCGTCGATGCCCTTTCACGTAGATTTCCCAGAGGTATTCGGAAAATTATCAGAGTCCCAGAATTTTAAGGCCGCAGAATTTACGAGAGACCACTGGCACCGCTTGCTCCTTTCTTACCGACTCGATCTTTAGACGTTGCAACATCCAAGTTTCACGACTAGATACTCTAAGCTTTCTAAAAATCGAGCTTCCCAAAAATCGGGAAATCGACGTCGCTGAAAATTTGTTTGACAATAATCGATGAACGAGCGATTAAATTGCGTATATTTTGAAACGGGTGAAAGCTGGACATATCGTTTGGTAAAACACTTTCGACAAATTCATCGGTCGTTCGACTCGTTCGGCTGTGCTACTTGCACAGTGGTACGACCAGCGAAAGTGTGGTTAACTTTTTGCCGAGTCTGTGGTTTATCGAATAATCAAACGCTGATCGATCCTTCTCCCAATCGGAGACAGCTGAAACACGATGACCGATCTTCTCTGATTTTTTCACCGATATTTCAGCGACACGCGTCTAAGCACATAGAAACGAAAAAGTACGAGACACTCGTAAAATGTTACTTATTCTGTCAGGAGAAATTATTTCCTCCGACGAGTAAATCCTTAATTTACAATGAAAATTAATTAACCCTCGGGAGCGGCTCGACACTCGATAGTTTCCGCCAGTTTTTCAGGATCGGTGCGTCAGCTGATTCGCAAATTGTTAATTTCAGTTTGCAACCTTTCCGGCCAACTGGACTTTTCCAAGCGTTTGCTTTGAGTCACGCGTTAATCAATTCGTCGAGGCAGTCATTTGGAAAATAAACCGTTTCACAACTGCTGCTGCCGCCGCCACTGCTCTCCCATTTGGCCACGCGATTTTTTCCGCTGTCCCTCGTACTTCCAGCTTTTTATTTACCGTAATCGTTGCATTTTTAAAGGGAAAAAATTTTCCCGACCGCGGAGCGGATCGAAATTTCTACCAGACGAACCGCGATGTTACGCCGATCTTCGATCGCTCGAATTCCATATCGATTTCCGCGAGGACACCGTGGCTGTCGTTGGAAAAATACGTCGCAAAGTTACACGCGATTCGAAACGTAGCAATCGAGGCGCAGTGTTTTTCTAATTACACGTAATTCGCGAGAGAAGTTGCGCATGTTAATCTACTTCGCTCTGCAAAGCGTTTCTCTGTTCATGCTCGCGGTCGCACGTGTACCGCGGCGATATCACGCAGCCTCGTTTACTCGGTAAATTAAATACGAATTAATCCCATTTTCCCGAGACGCGTACGAAAGAGCACGTTTTAACGGCTTTTCCCGCGTTTTACTTTCGTTAAAGTAAAACGCATCTAATTCCATTATTACGTAGGAGAGCCGTCCTTCTGTTTGTTTTAATTTTCACCTACGTTACGACTCGCTTTACCCCAATTCTTCCCATCGTCTATTAAATTCAAACGTAATTCCCTCGCGCGTAAACTTCGTAACGCGGTTATTAAAGTTAAAACTCGGCAGGCGCGTGGAAAATACGGGAAAAAGTGGCGGGGAAAAAAGGCACAGCGCGTATCCGTAGTTGATTAGAGGGATTCGCGAGATACGGCAAGTTCGAGATTCGATTATTCGGCCCGACGCTGACAAGCGTTTCGGCCAACGGGGAAAGATTACCGCCAACGACGTCGGACAACGTGTCGCGAATATGCGATCGTGCGGGTAATGCTGCGATTATCGGCACGGTGATTTCTTCAAACTGGCCGCTGTGCAGATTCCGCTCTGATGGCAAGTCCGGATACGGATATCGATTTCCCCGTAATCGTCGGAGATCCGCGACAATTGACATCGGATAAAAGAAAGCGCGCATATTTATGCCGCGCTGTCGAGCGAGTAAATATTTAACAATTCGCGATTAATTAAACGCTAAATTTATTGAACCTGTATAACCTTTTATACCGGATCCGCGTATGACAGATTTAGTTTATCCGCGTCTATTACCCCCGCAATGCAATAATTCGCGATTTACGTCGTGACCGACTAACGCAACGAATAACGCGATTTGCATCGCGACTCCCGCGAATACGATGAGCGGCAAAGAAAAGATTTAAAAAGAGAGAGCGAGAGAGAGCGAGAGAGAGAGAGAGAGAGTATAACGCGGCTACACGAGAAAGAGACAAGGAAGAAAAGTGTAAAAAGAATGATTTAAAAAGAGAGAGCGAGAGAGAGCGAGAGAGAGAGAGAGTATAACGCGGCTACACGAGAAAGAGACAAGGAAGAAAAGTGTAAAAAGAACGGGGTCGTCGACCGTATCTCTCTGACCCCGGCCCGGTTTTTCGCTTCTCGTTACATCGGCTAAGGGAAAGCATCTTCCACTACTCGACACCGTTCGACCTCGCGAGCCTTCAGCTCGATCCAATCGTACTCCTCTCGACTGTAATTATTTAAATCAAAGAAAACAGAGGAGAACCGATTCGGAAATCGATCGCGAGCCTGACGACGGCCCGCGAGAAATCGAATTCGGATTGTTTGCTGCGCATAAAAATGTTTGCCTCTTCGCGTTCTCTAATGTCTGTTAAAGAGGATTTAAAGGTATAGTTTGCTGGCACTCACCCAATTCTGGCCCGCAGACCCTCGGTATAATCTCCAGAATGGCGCTGCAGGATGCATCCTCGGAGCACAATTGACGCGCGTAAAGACAGTTCAGTATTGCGACTGGTACTTTGATGTCGGATCCTGAAAGCAGAAACATCGCGGCAGACGTTAGCGATAAAGGGGAAATAAAAGTATCTCTTTACGAGGGGATACGTTTCCGGGGGATGAAGGCGCGAAAGGAGCGAGTAAACGGGGCTTCGATCGCGCGGAAAATCCTTAATAATCACCGCCACGGGCCGCAGCGAGCGTATAACGAAACGTCGAAATGCATTCCGATTATAGGAAATCGAAGACGTTCGAACGCCTCGAGTGAAACGAGTGCGAGCAAACGAAACGGAACGGGACGAAATGAAATGAAACGAACGGTTCGCGCGTGAGGTAGACAACGGGGGGATTACAACTGCTATTTAATCCGCATTCGACAAAGTGTTTCCATTATTTATACACACGTGGCAATAACATTGGCGGAGTAACTCGGTCACGAAAAATCGCGTTTGTTCGTCGAGAACGTAAAGATCGATATGTCCGCAAACACGGTGCAAACAAGGTTTTTTGTTCCCATGCGATATGCTTCGAGCATTGAAGCAGCAATCGAGATAAAACGGACAATCGAAGTTACAATTGTGGAGTAGTTTGATCGGCGCCGAAGATTCGAGACGAAACGCGAGTCTATATCGCGAGAGTCAACGATACGCGAAACGAAATAAAATAACGAGGTAAATTTGGGTTATAGAGTATACGCGAAACGCAACAATGAAAACGTATCAGCGTAAACGAAGAGCGGGTCAAAGGGAATTGATAGGGATTTTCCGCTCGAGCGACGACGCGAGCGACTACGCCTCGATGTTCCGCGTTATTTATTTACGTCTTATGCGCATCGTATAGGCGCAGAGAAATAACCGTGGTCAGGAGCGGCAGGGAGTGGGGACAGAGCGACAGGGCGACAGGGCGACGAAAAGAAGAACGAAAGCGAGGGGAAAATGGAGAACGAGGGACGCAAGAGACAGGAAAACTGCGCGCGGACCCTCGCGGATTTTTACGAGCCACTCGCGAAACGGTAGTCGATAAAAGAAGCGCATCCCGCTGTAATTAATTACGAAACGTTCGCTACCGCTGGAAACAGCTATAAAAAAAAAAAAAAATGTACCGTCTCGTATATATTCCCTCTCGTGGCAGTTGTCCGTGCATATCCCGGAGCAGTGCACTAGGAAGATAGACGGATTTTTCGAATCGTAAATCGAATTCAGACCTTTTAACACGGCACCGCTCTTTCCAGTACGACTAGGCTAAGGATCACCACTTCCGACCTCGTTTTTACGACTTCGCGGATACATTTTTCACTGGCTGATCTCACTCGATGCACGAGCCGAGATATATCGAAATTAACCATACGTACTCGATGGACTCGGGGAACAGACCGAGAGCGTGAAAAATGCCTTCGTCTAATGCACACCGTGTCGTATTCATCGTACCTGACAGCTCGAATGTATAGGAACGTATAGGACCGGCGAGCGTGTATTGGGCGGCCATTATGACGTCACGAATTATTAAGATGCAATAATGGCGTAGAGAAAGATGAGCACAATTCTCAAACGCGTCACTCTTGTTATTCTATCTCTTATTCCGAGAATGTATCGGAGCGTGTTCCAAGGAAGGCTCGCAAACGAGGGCAAACAAACACAGCAATTTCCTTCTTTCTATTGTTTCGAGTCGCGAAACGAAAAGTAACGCGGGCCACGGGACGCCAAAGGAAACTTTCCGCGGAATATTTCATGCGTGCGAGAAAATATGAATGTTTAACAGCGTGTACTGGCACGTCGTGCAAGTTTACAACGCTCCGTGATGGAACTGCTCGTTTTTACCGTGAATGTAAATTTGTTTCGTGTTACTTACGTGAAGTAGAACGACCGCGCAACCACTTTCCACCAAGTCTGTGCGACGAACAATCAAGACTACGACGGTTAATATTTTCGGCCTAGGCGGTGACCGGTCCTACCGCAGGGATCAAATGACGTCTTTATTTCGATCGGTTATATCGGTTAAAAAATATATCGTGCGATCGGGGAGATAACGTTGGAGAATTTCCAGACATCTTTTACTTTTGTTTCCATCGGATTGTCAATAGTCTGACGTTTCGTGAATTTTTCAACACTTCGTAAGTGATAAAATAGTAGCAACGTTGACTCTGTGTGTACCTGTTTGCAACGGCACGCGTCTTCTACGAGGCTAGTCCCTTGTTCCGTGGATGTTCTAACAAGTGACGAAGTGAAAGTGAAAATTAAACAATCGAAGTGGTAATTTTGTGGTGTGATACTATATTCGAACGGGCACTAACCTCTACTCATTCCACGTCATACGGTGAGAAGGATATAAATCTATTTCTCGTCTCGTTACGAACTCTCATATACGAAAGATAATGCGCAGCGTTTATACGTTTCGAAGGTATTACGTCACAATACGAACGTCGCAATACGAACGTCGTATTACGTCGAACTACGAATGTACGCGTTTTATATACAGTGCATGAGAGAAACGGTTTTATACTTATCGCGTAACAGGAGACGTAACGTTGAATATAGGTTACTTCGTCGAAGCATATTTTCACCAGGATGAAATAAAGAAAGATAAACGATAATGAGATCGACGAATTCTCGCGTTTAATCTGGTCGATGAAGCTAAGTATTTAAAAGCAATTTATCGACGCGATAAAATAGGCTAAAATAATAGGAGTATTTAAAAAGAGTAACAGGGAATAGTTAGTAAAACGCGCGCAACCAGAGTAGAATAATATTTCCATTTAACTTCCGTTGCTCTTGAATTCGCTACTTTTTCCATCTCGCTTCTTTCAGCCAGATAATTATTCATCGCTGCTATACCGTCTTTCTTTTCGGCGCCGCCTTATAACGAGGCGTTTGTTTTAAGTGCGCGAGGCAGAAGCTCGTCTCTTTTCTCTTTCTGCTTTTTCCCACGTTTATTCGTGTCCGACGAAAACGCGAGAGAAACAACCGGCTGAGGAAGAGGGTAAAGGATAAAATTCGAACGAGAGAGCAACAGTGTCAGGCCATAACGAATCACGTGACCCGTAGAATCGTCTGGAATCGATTCGTGCGAAGGAATTTCGTTGCGTCGACGACGCGTAAGAGATGCACGATCGGGGTGTGGGTCTTTGAACAAGGAGAGAAGCGTTCTCGCTCTTCCCTTCGGTGTCGATTACCGTTTATTTACTTTTCGGCCGAACTACGTTCTGCGAAATCCTCGAGTGTGCATGGTAGTGGCCTTGGCGTCAACGGCCTTTTTATTTACATTATGGTCGAATGCGTTCGACCTGATCGGCAGGGAGACACTCATCGCACTTGTACTTTCTTATATTTTGAATCTTACATTTCTTATGTGATTTTTAACGTTCTTTCTTATATTTTAAATAATACACACAGACACACACACACACACTTGTGCGTATATGTGTGCAGAGTGTCCCAGCAACGGTAGAACGACCGGGAAGTGGGTAATTCTACGTGAAAAAATAAAATCGGAAATGAAGAATAAAATTTTTTCACTCGAAGCTTCATTATCGAGGAAATCGATTTTGAATATTCACCGAGTACGCGTGCACTTATGTAGCTATGGCTTATTGTTGGATATATGGACCATCGACATACCGGCAGTGATGGAATAACCAAGTAGGGGGTGATTCTACGTGAACAAACAAATCGAAAGTAAAGAATAAAATTTTTTTCATTCGGAATTTCGTTATCAAGAAAATCGACTTTGCATATTCACCGAGTATACGCGCACTTAACTCTGTCTAAGGCGAATGGTCCATTGGTACACCAGCGTACTCGGTGAATATTCAAAGTCGATTTTCTCAACAACGAAGCATCGAACGAAAAAATTTTATTCTTTATTTTCGATTTGCTCTTTCACGTAGAACCATCCCCTCCTCGATTTTACCACCGATACTCGTGTGCTTATGGTCTGTTCACATAAGCCATAGCTAAGTGCATGCGCTCTCGATAAATATTCAAAGTTAATTTTCTCGGTAACGAAGCTTCGAATGAAAAAATTTTCTTCTTCATTTTCGATTTGTTCTTTCACGTAGAATCATCCCCTCCTCGGCTGTACCATCGATACTGATGTAATGATGATCTGTCCAGCTAAACCAAAGTTAAGTGCACGTGCACTCGCTGAATATTCAAAGTTAATTTTCTCGACAACGAAGCTTCGAATGAAAAAATTTTATTCTTCATTTTCGATTTGTTCTTTCACGTAGAATCATCCCCTCCTCGATTTATACCACCGATACTCGTGTGTTTATGGTCTATTCGTATAAGCCATAGCTAAGTGCATGCACTTCCGGTGAGTATTCAAAGTTAATTTTCTCGACAACGAAGCTTCGAATGAAAAAATTTTCTTCTTTATTTTCGATTTGCTCTTTCACGTAGAACCATCCCCTCCTCTATTTTACCATCGATACTCGTGTATTTATGGTTTATTCACACAAGCCATAGCTAAGTGCATGCGCTCTCGATAAATATTCAAAGTTAATTTTCTCGGCAACGAAGCTTGGAATGAAAAAATTTTATTCTTCATTTTCGATTTGTTCTTTCACGTAGAATCATCCTCTTCTCGATTTTATCATCGATACTCGTGTATTTATGGTTTATTCACATAAGCCATAGCTAAGTGCACGTGCACTCGCTGAATATTCAAAGTTAATTTTCTCGACAACGAAGCTTTGAATGAAAAAATTTTATTCTTCATTTTCGATTTGTTTGTTCACGTAGAATCACACTCTCCTCGGCCGTACCATCATTACCGCGATACCCTGTATATATTATAGTTACACTGTCCGAAATTTATTTGCATCTCGACGAATCCCGGCTGTCCATTCTTAACAACCTCCAGTTGAAAATTCTTTTCGAGTATTTCTCTCGTCTGTTTCGAATTACCCCGCGATTAAGGCCCATCGCAACCATTCGCGGCAGGGTTTGAGCCTAACTGTTGCAATTATCCGAGTTGCGTAATGCTCCGTGAAACCCTATATCGTAACGAGCATATTTCTATCGAGGGTTGGCACTCCT